CCCCCCCGAGGGGGCCCCCGACGCCGATGCAGCCTTGCCCTTGGTCGCCTTTGGGCGTGCCCGACACCGCGGCCGACGACTTGCGCACTCTCCTGGTGTTCAGCACCTCTGAGCCGTGGATCCACGGCGAGTCGGCCGCCCCGCAGCTTCTCCTCGGGCCCTGGTCGGAGTGCGGGGCGCCGCCGTCGCGCGAGCACGCGCCTCCGACGCCGTTGCTCGCGCTGCCGCCCGCCCCCGACGCTGGCCAGGAGATGTCGACGGGGCCGCCTGGCGCTGTCGGCGGCCAAATCCCCATCGCGACGATCGCGGCCCAGTCTGGTGCTGCCGCGCGCGCCGGGGCTGCTGCTTCGTCGTCAGGGCCGCCTGCTGCGGCGCCGCTCGTGGTGGAGGGCTCCGACACGGAGGCGGACGCGGAGGTGGACAGTCCGGCGGGCCCGCCCGAGCCTGCGTCGAAGAGGCGCGTCGTCCGAGACAGCGCCGAGGCCGAGGCCGTCGCGTCGCTTGCGGCCGACTGGGAGACTGCGCACCAGAGAACGAGTGGCGCTGCAGCGCGCGCCGTTGCAGGACAGGCCCGCCGCAGAGCTGCCAGAGCCTTCGCGACCGCGGAGGTCGTAGCGGCTGGGCTTCCTCCGCCGCCGCCGCTGGCGCCGCCGCCGCCGCTGGCGCCGCCTGCCGGTGCGTCGGCGCCGCCCCCCGTGCCCGACGGCGCGGGGGCGGGCGCCGTCGCCGTGGACTACGCGGACACGGGGCCAAAATTCGAGGGCGACGAAGCCGAGTCTGATTTTTGACGTTTCCGATTTCGATTTCTATCGAGTCCGCTCGGTTCTGAGTCCGCTTCCGAACGCGTCTGACGGGGCTTCTTCGAGGAGCCCGAGTGCCGAGCGATTCCCGTCGGGCCCGCGTTCGATCCGATCCCCAGCGCGATCGATTCCGATTCCAATTGGCTCCAATAGATTCCGCCTGATCGATTCCGACCACACCTCCACCCCGTTCGACTCTGGTCGTCGTGGAAATCGACCCATTCCCAAGGGGAGGGGGTTGGGGGGGTTATATTGGAATCAGGCATGATGGGGGTCAGGAAGGCCACGGGAAGACAAAGGGAGAGTCCTCGCCTGGCCCCCCCTCTCAGTCACAGGTGCCGCGCGGGAGCCCAGGGGGGCCGCCCCACTTCGAGGAGGTGTCCATCCACGTTGTGCTGCCTGTACCTGTGGTGGGCACGCCCGTGGGGTACTGTCGCATGCAGGACGACCACCTGCAGCTCAATGCAGGCGGCAAGTACCAGCGGCCGTGCGTTGTCGTGCAGGGGCTCTGGAAAACGGGGACGCACGCCCTCCACAGTTACATGGAGCGGCACTTCGACGTCGAGGTGCGCAAGAGCAGGTGGGACGGGTGCGTCTCCTTCAACGGCCGCCACGCGTGGAAGCACGACCTGCTCCTCACGCCGTTGGAGTTTCCGCCAGAGGATGAGCAGGGCCGCCCAGTTGTGGTTCTGGTGTGCACGCGCGAGCCGACCAGGCGGCCGACGGGTCTTTCGGGCCAATGGTGCAGCAGAAGCGCGCCAGCTTTTGAGGTATCAGCCTGCCTGCCCTCCCGTCTTCTCACTTCCCCCACACTATCATGCCATGCTGCTCTCGCAATCCCCCTCCCCCAGGTGGATCAGGGCGATGTCGAAGGGCGCCTACGAACTGATGCCGAACTCTGCCAGCGGCACGAAGCGGGTTCGGAGGATGGGGGGCGTGAGTTGGCTCTTGCGGGGGCCGAGAGACGAACCTGTGCACGTCCGCTGGCCCGCCTGGGCGAAAGGCCGCGTCGATTACGATCCAGAGTTCGAGGATGCGTTCGACTTGTGGTGCCACTACATGGCCGCTGTGCTCCACGGTACTGGCGTGGGCAGCCCGGCGTCTCCAACCCATCGCGTCCTCGTCGTGCGGCACGAGGACCTCGTGTGCAGGCCCGAACTCGAGCTGAATGAGCTCGTCAGGGCTGGCCTGCAAACCAAGGGGTTGCCGTTTCATCCAGAGCGCAGGCTTCTGGGGGGCCACCGCGCCGACAAGGGGCGGGCGGTGGAGGCGCTGAGGGAGGAGGTGCAAACGCCAGTGACCCTGGACGATCAGATGGTCGATTGCATGGTGTCGAGGGCTCAACGGTACAAAGGCTTGTTTGCCACTTGCTGGTACCCGCCCGCCGACGGCAAACTTCCAGTCGACCACGTGAGTGTCGAGGATGTTTATGAAGTTTGCGGAGCGGCGTGATTTATCTGTTTCCCGCGGGCTGTCCAACTAGCAGGCAGCCCCCGCCACCTGTTCATTCCTCTTCGCCTCCTCTGGTGCAGCATCAGCGCGCTTCTCCCTACTCCCTCTCCTGGTGACGGCCTGCAAAGCAGCCGCGCCCGAATTGCTGGCATTTGGAACGGCGCCAATTCGCTGCGGATTATTCCTTTGAGAGCTTCGTGCGCAACGTTCGCACATGAAAAAAAAGAAGATGTCGAGTGACAGAGCACCCCCAACGAGGTGGGGAACCCTGGGCTGACAGAGCCCCCCAACGCGGCCTGGGGAAGCTTGCAGAGGTTCCAAGAGGCACCAGTGGGTTCCAAGACGGCCCCGAGAGGACGCCGAGTAGGCTTCAAGAGGTTCCTCCCCCAAAATTACCCCAAGGGTATCTGTAGAGGGCTTCCCGAGGTCGTCGTCGTCGTCGTGGTCGTGGTCGTGATCGTCGTCGTCGTCGTCGTCGTCGTCGTCATCGTCCTCGTCCTCGTCGTGGCCGTCGTTGTCATCGTCGTCGTGGCCGTCGTCGTCGTGGTCGTCGTCGTCGTGGTCGTGGTCGCGTTCGTCGTCGTTGTCGTCGTCGTGGACGTCGTTGTCGTGGTCGTGGTCGTCGTCGTCGTCGTCGTCGTCGTGGAGCCCGTCGTGGTCGTCGTCGTCGTCGTCGTCGTCGTCGTCGTCGTCTTCGTCAGCGGACATCTTTCCTCCTTTGTGGTTGTGGCGCACCCCGCGGCTGCGGCGGCTCATGATTGAAACGACTGTTGTGAATGCGTTTCCTGCCGCGCCGCGGCGACTAGGAGGAAGGGGGGGGGAAGGTAGAGGGAAGAGAGGAGGAGGGGATGAGGAAGGGAGGAGGAAGGGAAGAGGAAGAGAGGAGGACAGGAGGAGGAAGGGGGGCCAACGGGGGGGGGAAGGGAGGAGCAAGGGGGAAGGGAGGAGGATTGGATGAGGACGGGGGGAGGACGGGGGGAGAAAGGGAGGAGCAAGGGAGGAGGAAGCGAGGTGGAAGGGAGGGGGAAGAGACCAGGACGGGAGGAGGATGGGGAGAGAAAGGCGAAGGCTAAGGTACTCACTATGTGGTCACTCCGTGCGGCGAACGGATGCTGGGGGCACCCCCGCTTCAAAGGTGGTCGTTGCAAGACGTTGTAGCGCCAGGCCGCCTCGAGGAAGAGGGGGGGGGGCGCGGGAGGAGGAATAAGTAACGAACGCGGAGGAGAGGAGGAGGAGGAGGAGGAGGAGGGGGGGCGCAGGAGAAAGCAGACTGCTGTGAGTGACAAGCCAGGGAGCACCCCTGCTCATGACCCGACGCTGCCTTCCGCATGGTGGCAAGCGCCATCGGTGGCGCCCGTGACCGCTCGAGAAGTGACGCGCGGGCCCGCGTCGAGCAAACCGGAGAAGGAGGAGGAGGAATAGGAGGAGGAGGAGGAGGAGGAAAAGGAAGAGGAGAAACCTAGCAGGAGGCTGGGGGCCTCTATCGTGTGAGCCGTGCATCTGTAGTCCTTGTGGCTCCAGCGCGCTGGTGGTCATGTGCCCGAATGGATCTGTTCGCAGCTGCTCGGGACGCGTTGGGTCGCCTCGTGGGCGGCGATGGGCTCGGGGCTCGAGGTGCAGCAGAAGCGCGCCGCCCCGGGCCCCGCCCAGGCAGGCGCGGCCTGGTGCCTCCGGGCGCGGCTGCCGCTGCAGCTCGTCGGGCTAGGGGCGATGCGCGGCTCCAGCTGGACATGGAGCTGCAGGCGCAGATGGCCACGCACATTTTGGACAGTGCCAAGCGACAGGTGGACGTGATGGGGGAGGGGCAGGAAGGCCCGCGCAAGAAGTCGCCAAGATTTCGCTGGGATCAGTGGCTTCCTCGGACAATGCTCCGCGCAGTGTTCAGCAAAGAGAATCTGCGGATGGCTGCTAGCAGCGTCGCCAAGGTTTTCAGAGGCAACGGAATCAAAGGCAGCCATCTTTTCGCTCGCCAATTGAGATCGGCTTTGGCGGAGCTTTATTGCGACAGCCAACGTGTTCAAATAGAGCGCCAAGTGCTCAGAGCGCCTGGGACAGAACACAATTGGTTGGTTATGCATCTGCAGTGGGACGAAACCAAGTTCACTGTGCAGCTGAACGACGGCAAGCCTCCTTGTGGGCAGCAAGTGATGACACAGCACGGCGTGTTGCATTGGGAAGACGAGGACCTCCGCGTCCACAGCCAAGAGCTTATCTTCCCACCGTCCGTGCTGGAATCTGCAACCGCCGACTGCATGCTCGGAGGCCTCGCGCGGGCGTTGCGCGTGGATATGGATGAGCTCTGGCCGTCGGCGCTGCTGGCGTGCTTGTCCCCGAGCGTCGATTCTGTGGCCGCAAACGGGCTGGTGTGCAAATATTTGCTGCAGACGTTGCCCTGGTGGGTCCTCCTGTTGCCTTCTTTTTGTTTGCAGCATCAAACCGCAATATGTTTGCAGTCGGTCGGGGACATGACGGGGGTCGTCGGCGGCATGTTTTCCACTGTCAGACACTTGCAAACAGGGGTCAACTTGCGGGCCCTCGAGACAGCTCTGCGGCAAATCCTGTCGGACGAGGAGGCTGGTCTGGAGGTGCGGCGGGGCGCGCCGAATCCAGCGGGCAGGGGGAAGCTCGACGCGCTGCTCGGGTATTGCGACCGCCAGATGGATGAGGACGTGGAGGACGAGGAGGTGACAGCGGCGCGCGGCCAACGTAGAGGCCTCACCAAGCCAGAGGTCGACTTGATCAAGGAGATGTTCACCGGCGACATGTCTCAAGAGAGGCCTGTGCACCATTGCAGGGGCCGCGACTGCTGCGCGAACAGGCAGGAGTCTGTCGACAGAGCGGTGGCGGCGGTGATGGTTCCTTTGCGCAGGCGTTTGGCAGTGCCCGCGTTGAACCGCTGGAACACTGTGCATCCCACCGCGTGCGTCATGCTGCTGTTGATCTCCTTGCATGGATTGCTGCCGTGTGCGCTCGAGAAGACGTGCGGCGCTGCTGCGCGCGCCATGCGGCGGGAAGATGGCGGCCTCGAGAGCGGCAGCGGCGCAGCGGGCCTGGGGGATTTCAGGCGTGAACAGCGTGTTCGCACCGTCAAGATGATGAGGTTTCTCTCCGATCTACTTGCGCGGCAACGGCTGGTCCTGTGGGTGGCCGTGGCCGCCGTGGGGGTGCGATTTCATTACGCATGTTTCAAACGTGGGTCTTTGCATGGCTGGCTCGACCCCAAGGGGTCTGCGCTGTCGTCATTCTGCAAGAGCGTCGTCTTTGACACGCTCGCTCAGCTGAGCTCAGCCTTTGACCCCGCTGCAGCTGGACATTACGATTTGTGGAGATTGCCGCTTGCCCTGCACGGCCCCCTCGCGTCCTGGCCCGGCGAGGTCCTCCGCGAAGCAGACGCCATCGTCCACGTATTCACTGGGTCCTTTTATCGTCGTTTCGACATTCGTTTGAGCGGTTACCCATGGAGGCTCATGCGGCTCGTGGACGCCTCCCTGGACATGGGGGCCCGCCGCGCAGAAGGCGAAGAACTCTTTCGGGCAAACGAGTGTTGCCTGGACTCGGGGTTCTCCTTGAGGCTGAGGAAGATGTGCACCACGGGCGTTGACGACCTTTTCCTGCCAGAGGTGCAGCGCTTTCTCTCCGCGTGCTTTAGGTGCGCGATGGCCTCGACGGTGCATTCCGAATTGTTGGCGTTGCGCAGATCCCCACCAGCCCATCCAGGAACGTCGCCCAGGCGAGTTGGCTTTTTCACGGCTGCGGTCTGCGACCCTAGGGGCCGTCTTGGGCCATTCTTGACGCTCTAACCTATTGCGGGCCCCCGCGCCCAGGTCCTGGGGAGGGGGCGCGGGAGAGGGGTAGACCCCTCCGCAAACGGGAAAGAATGGGGGTTGGAAGAGGAATCTCCCTCGACCACTTGCGCCCTGAAGGGCGCGTGGGATTGGCTTTTGCGCGGATGAGGGCCCACCTCCAGACGATGAACAACAGACCTCCGAACGCCGCGACGCTCTCCGCCAAGCACGTGATCTCCGAGGTTGTTCGCTGTCACGAAGAGGGGCGGAGAATGCGCCGCGGGCGCGACTTGCGCACCAAGCGGGGCCGACTCCTGCAGAAGAGCGGCCACTCGAAACCGATCTGGGCCCAAGGCAAAGGAGGCAACCAGCGGCGCAAGAGGTTGGGCCATTATATGTTTTACCACCGTCGCGTGGCTGATCTGCGAGATTCGCAGCCGCGGGCGCCATGGGCAGACCCGAGGGAGTACGAGCGGCGTCTGTATCTACAGGCGGCCGCGGACTGGCGGGCTGCATCCGAGGCCGAGAGGCGAAGCTGGAGAGAGGCGGCTCGGCGCGCGAACAAGGCTGAGAGGATGAAGCCAGACCCGCTGCACGAGTATTTGCGCATCTGTCGCGACCACGTTGACCAGTCGGACGAAGCTGCTTGGCCTTGGGGTCTCGGCTCAGACGTGTTCCCCTTGTCCGAGGACCTTGTCTCCGCAGCCGTGCAAGCACATGTCGATGCGAAGCTGAAGAGGGGATCCTTCGTGGAAGCCACGGCCGTGTCGTTTGACGAAATGTACAATGCTGCTGTGGCGCCTCCAGGACTCATTCGCTGCGGCCTCCCAACTGAGCGGCCTTGCTGCACGCGCGCGGCAGAATGCCTTGGCGGCGTCGCCGACTTGCGGGGGGAGTACCAAGGCGTAGTGGAAGATTTGCGGTTGTTGGTGGCCCCTGCGAGGTGCAAGACTGTCGGGAAGATGCTGGCCCCCCAAGTTTCAGGGCCTGGAGGCTGTGTGATGATTCGCAACTTCTCGCACTTGAAAAGTCCTATTTTCACGGGGGAGTTCTGCGAGTGCGACGCGGTGGGGCAGCCATGCGGGCTCGGCGCGGCGCCCCCCGAGGTGCCATTCTCTCTGCGCCGGTGTTGGGTGGAGAGGAAGGGCCGCAGAGTGTTGAAGATGATGACTGAGATCGACGTCGCCCTCCACATCTTACGCGTGTGCGGGCGCGACCGGGCTGAGCTGCGCTGGGTCGAACTTCTTGCGCGCCCGCGCATGGGTTGCTCAGAGCTGCAGCATTCGGTCGATTGGGCGGAGGAGCGGGACTTACACGAGGCACGCCTCCACGAGAAGGACGTTGACCTGGCGACGGGCTGGTTCCAGGCGTTCGCCGACTCCCGCCCTGGCGGGGCTTCCGCCGACGGGGGGGGCAGCGGCGCGCGTGGCGGGGATGAGGAGCCTGACTACGCGAAGGATTGGAAGGCCGCTTGGGAGGCCGCCGCCGCCTGGCGGCAGAGAGGTCGCGGGGCGCAGGGTGCAGCAGAAGGCGCGCCAGCGGAGGCGCCTCCCGCAGCAGCGCCGGACGCCGCTCTGGCGCACGGGCCGCTGGGCGGCCACGCTGCGGCGGCGGCGCCGCCGCCGCCCCCCGCGGGCGCGCCGAGGCGCCCGCGCGTCGCCCGATACCCGCAGCTCCCACATCCCGCTGGGGCTGGCCGTCCTCACTACATTCGCCTTGTCGAGAACGAGGCCCTCGCCGTCTACGACATGCGCGCCGTCTGTGGCCTCCATCCAGGCTGTTCATGGAACCAGCAATCGAGGGTCAGACCATTGGCCGCTTTGTGGTGGTGGTTGGGGGAGGCCCCTGGATGCGGGAGCAAGGCAGACCATAAACAAAAGGTGCCCACGCCAGCGCAGATCGCCGCTGCTCGCGCGGTCCTCGAGGGCATGCCCGAGAGCCAGCTTTGGAGGGACTCGGAGGAGAGGCGGGCCCGTGGCGGGTGATCTTCCCGCCAGGACAGATACGAAGCGTAGGCGTGTAAAAGTGCATTTCTCAGAGCCGTTGTCGCCGCCGCGGCCGCCCGCTGCAATCGCGCAGCTGTCGCCTGATCGTTGCTCCAATCGCTGTTTCGCCGCGTCTCTCGGCGCAGCATTGTTCCCGAGCTGCGGCTAAGCTGCCGTCCGCGCCAGCGCCTCGCTGCCCGCCGCCGCGCCCGCCCCCTCGCTCCCCGCGATGTCCCGCGCGGAGACGGTGAAGGCATCGCCTTCCGACACCGACGGGGAGACGGAGAAAGCGCCGTCTCTGGCCTCGGGGTTGCGGCGGGGCCGCATGCTGCACGGCCTCGAGGTCGAGGGGCCCCCGTCATTGTGCACTTCCTTATGTCCTTCCTTTCTTTCGCCTAGCCTCCTTTCCTCCCTCTTGGCTCCCGTTTCCTCTCAGGTCGCCTTCGCGGTGGTTGGCCAGTGGGCTGGCTATCTGGTGAAACCTTTCAACAAGAAGGATGGTTCCAGCTTCACGCGCGGTCTCTGCGCCCACGAGAGCACGGACCCGAGCCCGTATCCCCAGGCGAGTAACGAGGACGAGTTCGGCGGATACTGGCCGTGGAAGTACCGCACCGACCATGGCAGCATGATCCGCCAGGCCACGGGCTATTTGTGCCTGGTTTGCAAGGCCCTGTTGCGCAAGAAGGCAGGCGGGCAAGGGACATTTCGCTGAAATCGAGCCCGCCGCTTTCAATTTTTCTCTGCCCGCGCGGGCTGCAAATTTCTATTTCTGTTTTTTTTTTTTTCTATTTCCCATTGTTTTTTTTGAATTTCCGGCCGGTGAACATAAAACCGCCCTGGTGAACATAAAATCGCCCTGGTGAACATAAAAGTGGTTTTGGTGAACATAATTGTTTTTTGAATTTCCGGCCGGTGAACATAAAACCGCCCTGGTGAACATAAAATCGCCCTGGTGAACATAAAAGTGGTTTTGGTGAACATAACTTTTTTTGGGGGGAAATGATTTTTTCAATAAATTCACAAAAAGATGCAATTTTAAATTCAGCGCATTGCAATTCCGCGCAAGAGAAAAAGGGCAACCGGCAGAGGAATGCATTTTTTCTGGTCGCGGCGAGGCGACTTCGAGCATTGCCGTTGGACATTCCACCTCCGCTCGATCCGCAGGGGTGCCCCGCCCGGCCTATCCTGCACGGGGCCCGACGCGACTCGAGTCCCACGCGGCCCCGACCCATGTCCGACGCGATTCCGACTTGGTCCAGCCCCCTCTCTCTCTCTCTCTCTCTCTCTCTCTCTCTCTCTCTCTCTCTCTCTCTCTCTCTCTCTCTCTCTCTCTCTCTCTCTCTCGCAGGCGGTGCTCTTGGACCCCCACTTGCCTGGCGGCGAGAAGAAGCCGCTGAAGGAGTACATCAAGTGGGTGCGCCAGGATGCGGGCCGGGCGCAGACCGTGCGGCTCAAGGTGGATGCGTGCGTCCAGAGCCAGGCGGGGAAGGACCCAGAGAAGCGCCGCCGCATGTCCAGGCAGGCCGCGGGAGACATCCAGCAGGCTCGCCAGGTATCTTCCGTCAAGGTCTCCGGGCGTCGCCTGTCTGCGAACTGGCATCAAGCCTGCCCCGTGAGCAAGTGGCACGAGGCTTTCCCTGAGACGCCGCTGCCCACGGACCCGAATTGTCGCGGCGAGGAGCTCATCGACGGCGCCTGGCAGGAGGCGCGCTGCCAAGTCGTCTTCCCACTCGCTTCCTTCATCGTTGAAATGCCCTCCCTTTCTGCTCTCCTACTGGCAGGTTGTATATGTCATGAAGGACGGCGCGAAGAAGTTCTTGTACGACATCGCGGACTACGACGATCGCAAGGTGGAGGACAGGACGGTGCTGGCGACTGTGGCCGAGTCAGACGACGACGCGGACGCGGCTGAGGTTGCGGCTGCTGCCGAGGCCGCCGTGGCCCCAATTGCAGCCCTGCGGCGCGCCACGCAGTGCGCGGAGATCGGTGCAGCAGAGAGCGCGCCGTCGGAGGGGCACCAGTCCGACTCTCCCGCGAGCGACGAGGACGCCGAAGAGACGGATCTCGTGGCCGCGGCGCTGTCGGGCCCGCGGGGCACGGCCCGCGCCGCCAAGCCCGCGCCCAAGGCTGCGACCAAGCCGCAGGCCAGACCACCAGCCCAGACGACCGGGAGGGCCACGTCCGGGCGCCCCGCCCAGACAGCCGAGAGGCCTGCCGCCAAAGGGGCTGCCACGCCCGCAGCCGCTGCCCCTTCGAAGTGCGCCGCGCCCTCGGCGCAGGCGCCGCCGCAGAGGTCAGCCGCCCGCGCCCCTGCTCAGACGGCCGCGCCCTCGGCGCAGCCAGCCGACGGCAGCGGCGCCAGTCCGCCCTTGGCGACCCCGCAGCGCTCGGGCCGGAGCCAGCCAGGGAAGAAGCGTGGCAGCGGCGGTTCGTGGGCCGCGCCCCTGCTCGCCCAGCCGCCCGACGACTCCGACGAGGGCGGCGGGCAGCCGGACGAGCCAGCACCTCTCGAGGACGGCTCCGCGTCGAAGAAGAGGGGGCGGAAGGCCCTCGAATTCAGCCTCACAGCGGCCGGCAGGAAACTCAAGGGCGAGGCCGACACGCTCTTCAACACGTTCCGGGAGTGTTACAAATTGCTCGACTTCAGCGGAGATGTGGACCTGTCCACGAAGGAGGGGAGAGCCCACTTCAAGGCCACGGCTTTTGAGCAGGCGGCAGCCGCAGAGAGCGCCATCCACACGGCCAAGAAGGCAGCGGCCAAGATGGGGAAGATCCCGGATGACGGCGCGCAGGCGCTGCAGATCAACAAGGCGTGGCTGGCGCGCTCAGAGGAGGCGCTGGCCGCGGCAGTGCGGGTCGTCAAGGCGGAGTGGTCGCGGTCGTGGTCGCGTTCGCGGTCGTCGTCGTCGTCGTCGATGGAGGAAGGGAGGAGGAAAGGAGAAGGACGATAGGGGGAGAGGGAGGAAGGGAGGGGGAAGGCAGGAGGGGGGGTAGGAGGAAGGAAGGCGGAAGGCAGGAGAAAGGGAGGAGGAAGGGACGCGGAAGGGAGGAGGAAGGGAGGAGGAATGGGGGGGGAAGGGAGGAGGGGGCTACAGTACGCATTCAGTTGTTCATTCCTCTTTGTGAACGGGGGCTTGGAGGCCCCCGGCCCAGTTCAAAGGAGGCGGCGGAAGCGGAGGAGGAAGAATATTGAGCGATGGGGGACCAGAGGAGGCGGAGGAGTCCGCAGGCTGCTGTGAGCGAGAAGCCAGGGAACACCGAGACTCTCCTGAAAGACACCGAGATCGCCGCGGCGGAGGACATCGCGTTCGGCGTGGCGTACCACATGCGGTTCAGGAGCTGGAAGGCAGACGAGGCCATCAAGCGCTGCGATTGGTTACAGCTGATGTCCCTGTTGGAAAGCGGTGCCGCAGATGGCGCGCCCTCGGCAGATCTCGCGACGACGACCCTCGAGCGAGTCGGCACGGGCCTGATTTCGGCCGTCGCGAAGTCGGACGCCAAGAAGGGGGGCGGATCGTTTGCTGCCGTGGTTGCCTTCGCTGGCGCCGCGCGGGATGCTCTCCAGCGGGCCCCCGCCGACCCTGCGCGGCCAGTGTGGGAGGAGGAGCTGAAGGGTCAAATCCAAGTTCTCTGGGCAGTGTCGCGCGCGAGCACTGCCCCGCTGACTGAGGTGGAGGAGGCGCTGGAGGCGCTCCCGCAGCTGGAGGGGGCCTTGGGCGTCGCTTTGAACACGAGCCCGGGCGGCAAAGTCCTCGTTGGTTGGGCGGAGTCGGCCATGAAGAAGCGGTCCCACGAGGAGGCTGCTCTCCAGTGCGCCCAGGCAGCCCGGGAGCTCTCCGCGCAGGTGACGGGCCATGCCGCCGGGGAGCAGTGGCAGAATTGGACCGAGAGGTGTCGCGCGCCTGCAAGAAGCAGAAGGAGGCCGCGTCCAAGGCGGGCGCGCTGCAGGAGGCCGACCGGCACCAACTCGCCAGGGAAGGCCGCGGGCGGGCCTCCGCAAGATCGCGAGTCCGTTCGATGAGGTTCGAGGGTTTCCGATCCGCCATTGGTTTTAGTTTGGCCGGTGCTGCTGCGGCGCGCCTTATTTTCTCCTACTTGAGCATGGGATGTTTGACCTCGCCGTTGCCTGTGTTTGCCTCCTGTCGAGGCACGGCGTTCGAGGACGTGGTCTTCGGGTTGCTCTTGCGCTCGCCCCGCGAGGAGGTGGGGCGAGCCGCAGCAGGCCTGAGGGAAGATTCCTTGTCCGATAGCGAGAAACAGGACGCAGACAGATGAACCACCCCCGGACCCGGGACCGCCAGAACGATCAGGAGGAAGTGGAGGCGGAGGAGGGAGGAGGATGATGAGGAGAACACCTTGTGCCAGAGGTGCTGCAGCAGCGCGCCTTCTCAATGTAGTTTGGGCGCCGAAACGCGTTCTCCAGAGGAGCTCCTGACTGCCGCGTGCGTCGAGCGGCTGGAGTTGGAGCACGGCTGGTCGACCGTCGAGGAGTGGGCGCCTGATGGCATCAAGGGCCCCCACGAGACCGCCTTCGGGGCATTGAAGAAGATCGCCGACATCGCCGCGTGCAGCCGTCTCGACGTACCTGGGATGAAGCAGCCAGTGAAGACAGCCAATCGGTTGTGCGACCTCTTGAAGGAGAGCCCCGAGGCGTTGTTGAAGGTCTCTGGCGTGACAGTGTCTGCGGAAGACAACGTAGAGGGGCTGCAGTCGCTGTTCTCCCTCGCGCTGGGCACGGCGGCGCGCGTGCGCAGGGCCTTGGGCCACGGCGTTCTGGCCAGAGCCAAGGGCGCAGCAGAACAGTCTCTGAAGCGCGTGGACTCGGCGGCGTGGCAACGGAAGGAATTGCAGGCCTTCTTGAATATCTCCAAGCTGCTGAGCGCGGAGCCGCCCGAGGACACCTGGAAGGAAGCGGACATGTGGCTGTGCAGCGTCGCGGCCGTCGCCGACGCCAAGGAGCTTGCCGAGCAGGCCGGGGGCGAGCTGAACCTGGAGCTGTGGGAGAACGCGAGCGACGCCGTGCGCCAGCTCGGGGACATCGGGGACATGGTGCAGCCGGAGCGCGCCTTCCAGACGGTCATCGCGAAGACTTTCGACGCTTCTCTGGAAGATGTGGAGGCAGCAGTGGGGGCCAGCAAGGAGCTGCACGCGCAGGCCGTGCCATGGCTGGAGAAAGTCGCGCAGGAGCGGGCTGAACGCTCCGTCAAGCGGTTCGACGCCGAGCCAGCCGTGCGCGCCGCGAAGGAGCTTCTTGAGAGGAGCCCCATCCCCGAGACGCTGCAGGAAGCGGCCGAGTTCTTAAAGGTTGTCGGTGGCACCGTGGACATGCCGGAGACCTTCGGCGGCAAGGGTGGGAAGATGGTTGATGCTGTCAACAAGGTGCGCAGATCCTTGTTCGCCGTCTTCCCCAGCTCCTCGTGTTCCTTCACCAGTCCCCCGCTGTCTCATCCCACCGAGCTCCCCTCGTTCCCAGTACATTCCGCCGCGGCTCCTCCTCGCCACCCCGCGTTCGCTCCAGGTGATCGGTGGCTTCTCTCTCATAAAGGAGGTGTACCGCGACCCCCATCTTGAGTCGCAGGTGGACTCCATGACGTCACAGTTGCGACAGCGGCTCTTCCTGGTCGCCTGGTGCGCGAACGTGACGTCGTCGATTTGGGAGGCGAAAGGCCAGTCGAGGATTCTGACCCAGCAGAAGCAGAAGGTCCGCGATGCCATGAAGAACCTCATCAGCGTCGCAGAGGAGTCTGACAAGACGAAGGAGGAGTTTCCCGCGCTCGAGGGCCGCCTGATCCCCGAGATCCCTCTGAACGCGGGGAAGGCGATCCTCGCCGGCCGCGCAGTGAGCGGGGAGAGCGAGGCGGAGGGCGCCAGCGGTGCAGCAGACAGCGCGCCTGGGAGCGGGGCCGGCGGCACTGACCAGAAAGGGTGCGCCCGGGCTGCGCCCGGGGCCGCCAAGAGGGCCAGGGTGGGCGACGCGGCGTCGTTTCCAAAGGCGACGCCGCATTCCCCAGCGGTTCTGGCGGCGAAGAGAGCCAGCATTGGCGGCGCCCCTGTGTGCAAGTCCGCGCGCAAGGCCGCGTAGGTGCGCGCTGCAGGAGTCCGGGGGCACGGTGGTGTTTTTCTTTGCGGCGGGGGCGCCTGGCGCGCTCTCCAGTCGAGCGGCCGGCGCCCAGGGGCCGCCTCGCTGAGACGAGAGGGGCGCGGGAGGCAGGGGGGCGCAGGAGATAGAGCGAGGCGGCGGGGGGAGGTCCAGCGCGCGAGATATGCACTGCGAGTTGCGGGCTGACGCTCGGTTTAGAGTTCAGGGGAATGGCGCAGTGACAGCCCGTGGCGGTCTCTCACGGGGGTTGTCCACAGGCCTTGCTTTTCCAGCTTCGGAAGTTTGCTACGGACAATGCGAGCGATGTGCTTAGTCGAGGGGAGTCTGACACTCGCTCTGCAAAAAAATGAGGAAGGATGGGGGGGGAAGCAAGGCGGAGGAGGAGCAGGAGACGCAGGAGGGTTTTGCCGTACTCTGCTGGGCGCGTCCACGAGGACGCAACAGACTTGAAACTTGCACCGATGCCGCCCCAGGCAGGCGAATCGGGATCCGTGGATGAGGAGGAGGAAAAGAGGGGAGAAGGGGAGGGGGAAGAGGAGGAGGAGGAGGAGGAGGAGGGCCATCGCACACCTGCCAGGGGGTCGGCCGTAGGCAGATCAACTGCGGATGCTGCTCCTGCTGCTGCCAGTTGCCAGCATTTCAAGCCAGTCTTCGCGCGCCGAGGGCGCGCCCTGTTAGAGCAAGAGCGGTTCCTGTCCGCCGAAGGTTCTGGTTGTTGCTGCTGCTCTTGTTGCTGCTCTCCCTCCCCCCCCCTCGCTCTGTAGGAGGAAGAGGATGGGTGGGTAGGAGGATGGGGGGAGGGAAGAGGAGGAGGAGGAGGAGGAGGAGGAGGAGGAGGAGGAGGACGACGACCATTTTACAGATGCCAGGGGTTCGGCCGTTGGCAGATCTACTGCTGATGCTGCTGCTGCTGCCACTTGCCTTCGTGGCGGGCCAGTTGCCGCCCCTTGACTCGGATTAGCTCGCTCGCCTGGCGCTCCTGGGCCCCTGGCGTGGCAGCAGCAACGGCAGCAGCAGCAGCAGCAAAGGCGCACGAGACCTAATGGAAGCAATAGGCACGCTCCTGCAACAGGTAAACAGAGCCTACAAAGGTAGATCATGTTCCCATCCACGGAACAGAAAAGTCGAATCCCCGATCGGCCCGAAGCACGGAAGGGGAGGAAGAGGGGAAGAGGGTGGAAGGAAGGGGGGAAGGGAGGAGGAATAGAGGAGTAAGGGGGGAGGTACAGAGGAGTAAGGAAGGAGGAAGGGAGGAGGAATAAAGGAGAAAGGGGGGAGGGAGGGGGGAAGAGGGGAGGAGGAAGAGAGGAGGGCGGGAGGAGGAGAGGGGATACTGGGAGGAGGAAGGGAGAAGGAAGGGAGGAGGAAGAGAGGGGGGCGGGGGGAGGAAGGGGCGAGAAAGACCAGGGCCATAATATTCATTATCTGGTTCACTCCTTGCGGAGGGCGGGCAGTGAGACAACCAGGCAGGCTTTTGTTTGGTCCGTGGACATGTGCCTTGGGAACCGCGGGGGGGCCTCGAGAGGGCCCCGATGGGGTCAGTAGGCTGCCCTCCAGAGTTTTCTGGCTCAAGGCGCGCGGCGCAGTGGGCCCGCGCGGCCAGGCCGCCTCGGCGCGCGGCCCGCTTCGGCGCGGCTGATGGCCCCGAAAAAACTGCCGAAGCTCCCGGATGGGAGCCGCTGGGGGCGCCTCGACCTCGACAACTTCGTGGCGCCTGCGGCGGCGCGGGCCAGCACTGTAGAAGGCTCGTCGCCGCTCCGAGCGCGCCTATCCAGGCAGGCGCCGTCGTCCATCGCCAGCGGGGCCGAGAAGAGGCCGGCCGAGGCGCCGGCCTCGAGTGCGGGTAAGAGGGCGGCCGCGGCCTCCGCTCTTCGGCGGCCGGCGGCCGCTTCGAGTGCCAGGGAAGCCGCGGAGGCGGCTGTGACAGCGGGCGAGGAGGAAGCTCGAGGGCCGCTGGAAGGTTTGCCGGAAGCTGGCGCTGCTGGGCGCGCCGAAGACGACGCCTCGGCAGACCCCGTGCGTCGCGAGGGCGCCGCTGGCGGCGGCGACCGAGAGGGTCGGGCAGCGAGCGAGGAGCGCGGCAAGGCGTCGTCGGAAGTAGAGGCCGACGCGGCGGCCGCGGACGTGGAGGCGGAGGCTGACGACCTGCGCCAGCTTGCCGAGGAGAGCGGCGGCGACGGCGGCGAGCTCGGAGAGGAGGAGCAGCCGCGCGAGGAAGACCCCGAGGTCATCGGAGATGACTGGTTGCCAGCTTGGCCAGCCCCGAAGGCGATCGATGCAGCCGCGGTTGCTAGTGGACATGCGCTGCGATTCTTCGGGGAGTGGGTGGACGCCTATATGCCCCCCGTCCTCAAAGAGCACGCCGCGTACGTCACGGAATCGATGCCCCAGGCGCTCTCGGTGGCGGCGTTTGGCGGCGGAATGCTCGTCGCGGCGCCCGTGCACACGGAATTGCAGAGGGTGTTCCAGAAGCACGGTCTCTTGTCGGAGGGTTTTCGCATCGCTGCCCACTGCCGCACGGACGCGGCTAAGAGCACCATGGCGAATCAGCGCGCTGAAGTGTTCGCGAGGTGGTGCGCGCCGTTAGGCGGATCTGGGCGGAGCGTGGACGACGGAATCCGGGGCATCGGCGGACACACACCTGGAGACTTTCTGGCGATGTCTCAGCAACCGCCATTGGGCATATCAAGCATTAGCTGTGCTGAACTAGATCGGCGCGGTCGACAACGGTGGTATGCAGAAGCAGAGGCTCCATATCAAGAAGTGCAATTTCGCTACCAGGACTCACGATGCATACTTCATACGCCCAAGTAATGGATAGCAGCCCTGGGATAAAATGCCCTGAATCACTGTATATGAGGATAACGGGTTTGACCATTCCAGGTGCACCTTGTTATTTCATTCATAGTACCCAATGGGAGCATATCCCGAATGTACTTCGCATAGGACTGCCATGCCGCGCCGACGACACCATCAAGAGAAAAGGCAGACAGTTTGTTGATGTTTGCCCATATGCTACCTGGTGACAACAGAATCCACTTTGGCCTTCGCGTCGACTCCGAAGTATTAATTATGGTTAGTGTAAAAAACTTGCTTCCCGCTCGTATGGCCACTTGGCGCGCAGCAAATGATATTTGAGTGTCGGCAGGCCGGAACGGCATAATTCTTCCGACTCACATCGCCCAGTTCATAGGCGTTCTGCCCAAAGAGAAGTGCAGGTATAATCGAGTGGGACATGTATGGGTCCATCCCTTATACCTGTGGGACAACGCGCAGAAATGCGAACCGTGATTTTAGCCTCGTCGAGTTGTGCGAATTTCGAAATGATGCACCATCGTTGATTTTGAAGTGCCCCGAACCGACGCTTATCCAGGAGGTCGAGTTCTCTACGGTATTTATGATGCAAGAATGGTACCAAGCGGTGACACTTGCAAGGGGATCCGACGGATCATGGATCCAGGCCCAGAGTGCGGACGTGACTGGTATGTCATCGAGTGGGATTACTCCCAACGAAACGTTGTACGCCAACGATCCGTGGCGTGCCCAGACGCAGCAGTTGCCAGTACCTGCAGGGCAACCTGCGTCGTTGCTCCTATGAGAAAGGCCACAACTCCCTTTGGGACTCCACAGAGTGCTGGGAGCACAAACAGCCTACAGGCGAGGCTCCCGAGCATTCGGATGGACCCACAGCTCTACCAGGCCTTTCAGGCGACATCGCCGTTCGCATCGCCGCGTCCACACGCCGGCCAACCTGCATTCCTTGACCACAACGCTGCACAGAGGACCGAGAGTTTTGCTGGTCAGCAAGAGTGGATGTACCGGCAAATGCGCGGAGCCGCACAGAGCATGCGCAGGGGCGGCATCGATCTCCCCAACGCTAGCTGGACGCCGCCTTGGGAGCATGTCCCGGACCCAAATCCATCACCGGACAACCCCAATAGGCACGGATACGTGCCAGCATTGCTCAGTCATCCGACATACGATCCGACAGTTGCAGAGCGCCCTACAGCACCACCGATGGACTTCCCATCGTACCCTGACTACCATGCTCAGGTGACGGGTCACTCTCGCGTGGGAACGCAGCTGGAGAACCCGTATGCACGGGCGACAGCCGACGCCTTCTGGCAGTCTCAGTTGACACGCGGCTTTACACGTCAGGTGCGCTGGGCCAGATTCCGCATTATGGATATTTGGCTACCCCTATGGACTCAGATGTGCCTCAACAGGCCCCCGGCCTGGTAGCGCCATCATCCATGCGGGAGCTGCGCCGGGAGATTCTGACCCTTCACGAGGCGCAGCCGGCCGACCTCTCAATGCTATTGGCCCGCCAGCGCCGCAATCATGAGCGGCAGGCGAACGGGGCGCCGGGTCGCGCGGGGCAACCTGCTACTCGAATCACAGCAGGGACACCTGCATTCAACCTGGCAGCAGTTGCAGCCACGCAGCCACTGGCGGTTCCACCGATCCAGTATGAGCTTGGTGAAACCACTCTGGAGCGCCAGACGCGCATCAGGCCATCGGCAACGCCGCCGGTCATCAGCGACGGTGACTTTAACAAGTGTGCCATATGCCTTGACCACTTCAAGCATCACGACAAGGTCTGGAGGCTTCAGTGTGGTCACATATTCCATGCGCAGTGCTGGGGCCGAGTGGCGCACGCTCATGTGGACAGGCAGTTGGCTGGTACTTCGGAGGGTGCTGCAACTGAGGCGCCCTGCGCTATTTGCAGGGGCGTTGGTCTAATAATCAAAGCTGAGTTTCATTATGCCCTTGCTGGCGACCAAGATACAGCAAATCGCCATGAAGAAATACTCCGAGGGGCCAACGAACTCAGGGACCTACGCGAAGAGCTCAACCACATCACGGTGATGATGACGAACAACACGGCAGTTGCCGCAACAACACCTGCGGGGCAACCTGCTTCATCAGCCAACGCGGCGCATGCGACGGCAGCTACCGCGCCTGCCGTGGATACGCCTATG